GTACAATTCTTGTTGGCCTTGTCTGAGCGATATGCGTGTTTTCTTGGGAAATTTTGGACATTATTCCGATTGATTTTCGCGTGCGAACTTGTACCACTGCAGTAGAGTGTTGCTAAAAATTTAGATTATTAGTTTTTTTTAATCGTATCCGTAAAAGGGATTAAATAGCACCTTTACGTTTTTTTGGATTGCTGTTTTGAAGCAAATTTATTCCATTGCCCATTTTGGGGATTATTCAGTTGTACGACATCCGTTTCTTTGCGCTGCTAAAAGAAAAGCTTAAGATCATTAATTGGATATTGTAGAAAAGAAAACGATTTACTTACCATCCAAATTAGGTACGTGTGAAACCCTCTGAATTGAGGTAAGCGAAATTGCCAATTTAATAATATAATTTTATTTTAACCATAACTTTATAGGGTTTTTTTTGTATACGTATACAAAAGTACCGCCAACTGTACGAGACCAGTATCGTCCCCATTACGTTTAATTTCTTCCGATTCTTCAGAGTCATCCGATTGTTCCAGTTCTCCGTCTTCTTCACACCAGACCCGCATTCTTCGTGCCAAGAGCTAAGATTTATGTTTTGTGTTTGTCTAAGATAACCTTTCCCATGTTTTGATTTACGTCAATTTAAAACCCGAACTTAACAACTTAACAACTGCCCTGTTTAAGTACCGAATACTGAATCCGATATTTAATTTTCCTTTTATGTGAAAGCAAGTAGATAATTAAAAGCAGTGTACTCTCTACTTGATTCCTTTACGGGAATTTGCCAATACGCTGATTTTATATCAAGTGAACTTAAGTATTTGGCTCCGCGTAAGCGATCTAGAATTGAGTTTACAAGTGGGAGGGGATACGCATCCTTTTTGGTAACTTTATTAAGAAGTCTAAAATCAACGCAAAAACGACAGTCATTGCTACCTGATTTAGGTACTAACAGTACTGGTGACGACCATGCGCTTTTAGATGGTTCTACCACTCCCAGTTCCAGCATTTTATCCAATTCGCTATCTAAAATTTTCTGTTTGAATGGGGATACGGGGTAGTAACGTTGTTTTATTGGAACCGTGTTTGGTTCTAGTATAATTTCGTGTTCCACATCTGACGTATAACCTAATCCCTTTCCTATAATCTCAAATTTAACGTCTAGTAATTTTTTTAGACGCAATTGCTGCTCCGAAGTTAAGGTATCATTGGTTTGTAACCCGCAAACCCTTGGCTCAGAAACATTACCAAAATACCAAACGTTTCTTTTTAAATCTGGTATAATATCCATAATTAACCAAAAATCCATGCCTAAAATTAATGCATTCGAAAGGGTTGGAACTACCAATATGTTTATAATTTTCACCTTGTTCATTAAACAAACAGGGGCGCGAATGATTCCTATGGAGTAACCTTTTTCTCCATTTGCGAAGACACATTCATTTGTTTTAGAAGTGTCTAAAGACAACCCTATACCGAGAAGAAATTCATAACCCGATTGTCCTACCAGCGTAGAATTACTGCCGGAATCGAGTAAACCCATCATTGGTTGCCCCAGCACTGAAACTTGTAGATGCGGTCTATGATCGCCTTCTGCGTGAGATAAAATATAATCTAGCAAAATTTTATTTTTAAAAGCGAGTTCAGCCGATGGTGGTGTTTGGGCAACTACTCGGCTACCTAGTGACCCAAATCTTCGTTTCCAGAACAGGAACTACAGTTTTTTGTAGTAAATCCTACTTTTCCACAACGAAAGCATACGATTCGAGGAGCTTGAAGACAAGATTTTCTAAAATGGCCGACAGTGTCACAGTTCCAGCACTTGGCTGACGTTTTATTTGAACTAGGCTTTTGTAAAGCATCCTTTTGAATAGCATATGTACTAGTAGGGGTCGGTTTACACAATGGATGATACGCTAGTTCAGGTTCAGAAATTAGGGTTGAACTCGTAGGGGGTGGACAGTAACGTTGGGCTCGCCAGTTGCTTTCTTCAATAAGTCGTCCACATTGAAGTAACTCATCTAGCGTACTGATTTGTTTTAGGGCCAACGCGTTTTGAATGTTTGGTAATAAATTACGTCGAATAATCCAAACACGTTCATGTTCGGGTGGGGGATTGGACAATTTTCGAAAACAGTTTTCCATGAGGGAAATGTATCGAATTAATTTTTCATCTGGACCTTGAGTCCGCTTCCGAATGTCTTCTAATAACGAAAATTCATAATCAATAGGTAGAAATGCGTCCCTTAATTGTAATATCAGATCATTCCAATCTCTAAAATTACACCTTCTTGGTCTATACCACAGTAACGCGTCTCCCTTGAAAAATTCAACGGCGGATTGAAAAATAGCGTCTTTAGAGACCCCTCGCGCTAATCGCAATTCTTCCACCCGTTCTATAAAACTAGTTACACTTGTCGTTCCATCAAAGGAAACGTCCCATTTATACAAGGGGAGGTATTTACTTGGGGTTGCTGGAATGCCTGGTAACTGGCATGGGCCACTATGTGAAGTAGACGTGATTGGTGGTATCGGTTGAATTAATGAACGATCAAAAGCAGGGTGATATAGTTCTGTTTTAATTAAATCGTTAGTGGACTTATTCATAGCATGATTAGGGGTTGACGACTGACCAAGCGTTAAATCTGCAAGCTGTTTAGATATACTAATTAAATTTTCTTGAGGATAACGTTGCTGACTTTTTACTGGAGTGGCGTGTGCAACAGTTACATTCGTGTTGATCTCTGCATCGACTAATTGTTCAACTTCCAATTCCATCAAGTCGTTTATATTCGAAGGACTTTTTACGGTAACCTTACGTGTATTCATATTCTGATTATCTAACGTATCATGAAAAGAAGTAGGATTTGGGGTATCTAAAATAGATAAGTTTTGGTTTGCGATACTCTTATGACCAGTCTGATTATCAGTAGCTTCCCCACTGAACCTTGCAATGGTAAACGCGTCTTCAAGGGCTTCTATCAAACCGTCACATAGAAGTTGCAGATTAGATTTTTTTAGTTGTGAAACTTTGGTATCAAAATTTACGATACGAGAAAGTCGACCTTGTATATGTAACAATCGAGTTTTGATACGTGCGTATTCGTTATTCTTATTTGCATTATCAAATTCCTGAATGTGACCATTTAATTCATCTAATTTTGATGAACAAATGTTCAGTTCCTGATTACAATCAATAATAGTATGTTCCGGTTGTACGCCCATACGTTCCTGCGATAAAGCTTCTCGCAATAGAGAACGCTTTTCTCTAACGGTGGTCCCTAATGCACAACCGCGTATAAGTAATTCGTGTGTAAGTTCGTCGCTCAATAAACGATTTACATCCATGACAGTATACGTAATAAAAAACTATCTCTAATACACAAAATGTAATAATACGTTTAACTTCCTCCAGGAAAAAAAATATTAAATAGATGTAGGTTGGGCGCCAATTAATGCCACGATAAAAATCTCAGGAGGTGGGATAATTTCATTAGGTTCTCATTTGGCATTAATAAAAGAAAGTTATTTATAGAGCAAGATAAAAGTTTCCGTCACTAGCAAAATAAAGGAAGAAAAATTGCAAACAAAAGCTTTTTAATTATCTACTTGCTTTCACATAAAAGGAAAATTAAATATCGGATTCAGTATTCGGTACTTAAACAAGCAAGTTGCATAATACCCCGCACATCTGGCCATATGATTGGTTTTACAATTTATTAGTATAATTGCGCCGAAAGGCAGTTGTTAAGTTCGGGTTTTAAATTGACGTAAATCAAAACATGGGAAAGGTTATCTTAGACAAACACAAAACATAAATCTTAGCTCTTGGCACGAAGAATGCGGGTCTGGTGCGAAGAAGACGGAGAACTGGAACAATCGGATGACTCTGAAGAATCGGAAGAAATTAAACGTAATGGTGACGATACTGGTCTCGTACAGTTGGCGGTACTTTTGTATACGTATACAAAAAAAACCCTATAAAGTTATGGTTAAAATAAAATTATATTATTAAATTGGCAATTTCGCTTACCTCAATTCAGAGGGTTTCACACGTAATTTGGATGGTAAGTAAATCGTTTTCTTCTCTACAATATCCAATTAATGATCTTAAGCTTTTCTTTTAGCAGCGCAAAGAAACGGATGTCGTACAACTGAATAATCCCCAAAATGGGCAATGGAATAAATTTGCTTCAAAACAGCAATCCAAAAAACGTAAAGGTGCTATTTAATCCCTTTTACGGATACGATTAAAAAAACTAATAATCTATATTTTTAGCAACACTCTACTGCAGTGGTACAAGTTCGCACGCGAAAATCAATCGGAATAATGTCCAAAATTTCCTAAGAAAACACGCATATCGCTCAGACAAGGCCAACAAGAATTGTACTGATATTGCATTTATTTGTAATACTTTACATTATTTGATGTTTTTATTAAAATGAATTAACTTCCTAAAATGGACTGTTACAAATTTCACATGGACTGCTACATGAAGTTAACGCAATGTTATCGATACGTAAACGTGCTCAAAGACGTTGGTGGGTGAAGCCATGGGTTTCAAGGAGAACAAAGCTGGGAGCTTCGTCAACCCTGTTAAGAGAATGGGCAGAGGAAAATCCTGAGGTGTATAGAAATCACTTAAGAATGACCGAGGAGCAATTCGCATATCTTCTAGACAAAGTAACTCCGTTTATAAGCAAAAAAGATACTTGGTTCCGAGAAGCTTTAAGCCCTAAAATAAAACTACAAATGACACTACGATATCTAGCGACTGGAGATAATATAGGTACCTTAAGTGCACTGTACAGAATTCCAAGAAGCACATTTTCACGGTTTTTGCCTGAGGTATGCAAGGCTATATACAACGCTTTGGCAGATTTTATAATGGTAAGTAGAAATTTAACATCTGGTAGTTTAATTAATTCATAGGTTAACAGAATAAAAAGTTTCAAATAGTTAAGTTATTTTGAAAATATTTTTTATTTCTATAAAATAACGTAATTTATTATAAAGGCATTAATTCATCACCAACTATTAATCCCGCTGAAGAAAGGGCATCGGACAAAACATCACTGGTATATTGAGTGCTTTCATAATCGTCATCTTTTTCGGTAGATTGGTAGTAATGGTTTTGTGACTGCCGTGAATGTGTGCTGCTTTGCCCTGATGACATCGCAGAGTACCGGCCTGAAGTTGGTATGGACTGTTGATAATCAGCAGGTGACATGGATGAGTGAGACTGAGGGTTTGATGTGAGTTGGAAGGGTCGTTCTTGCGTCATCACTTTCTGTAGATGTTCTTGACAGATAAGAGCCCTATTTAAAGGCATTTTTTTCAACTGTATAGCAAGGCTCTCACAAAACACGTCGAATTCGTTCAGATCCTCCTTATTTTCTTCCGATAGTGTTTTCAATTGTTTTATTGCGTCCTGAACCCCCGAAATAGTAGTATTGAGGGAACGTTTACGCCCCTTTGTGTTTTTTGGAGTATTCTTAATTACCGCCGAAGACGTTGCAATCGTATTTGGAGATGTTGCCTCAGTGTCCTGAATGTGTGCTGTTTGCTCAGTTTGCTGTTCAGTGTCCTGAATGTGTGCCGTTTGCTCAGTTTGCTGTTCACGTTCTTCCAAATGTTGGCTATCATCGGTTGCTTTTCCAGAAATGCCCTTTCTCGTCGATTCTAACTCCTGAAACAAAGTACATGAAATTACATGAAATCAGTCATTCCCGAAAGCAATTGAAAGTTGATACAGATACAAAGCTCTAAAAATAGAATAATGTACACTGTCTAATAATTATTGCTTGATACAGGTCCCTAACACAGTTGAAAGCTGGGAAAATGTGATGCGAGACTACGAAACTTTGTGGAATTTCCCAAATGTGTGTGGGGCTATGGACGGTAAGCACGTTACCATCAGGTGTCCTCCAAACACTGGTTCACAGTATTTTAATTACAAGAAAGACTTCAGTACGATACTATTCGCAATTGTTGATGCCAATTATAATTTCATATACATCGATGTGGGAACCAATGGAAGAGTAAATGACGCTGCAGTATTTGCGAAATCAACTTTTAATGAGGCCTTGCAAAATAATTCACTGAATATACCGGAACAAGGAATTTTCGTCGCTGACGATGCCTTCCCATTGAGAACCAATATTTTAAAACCATATTCCAGATGTGGTCCGCTAACGGAAAAACAAAAAATATTCAATTACAGACTTTCAAGAGCTCGTCGCGTTGTGGAAAACACATTCGGCATACTTGTGTCGAAATTTAGAATCTTTGAGAAACCTATTCCACTATCCATACAAACAACGGAACAAGTGGTGAAGACTACATGCGCTCTTCACAACTGGTTGCGAAAGACTTCAACTCCCATACATCCCGAGAGATATGCTGGATGTTGAAAACTGGGAAGAAGGAAGGGTTCAACCAGGTACCGCTACCCAACATCCACATAGTGGTCTTGAGGAAATATCCCACGGTGCATTAAATAACTACTGCAGGGCAGCAAGAGACGTACGAAATTATTATGCTGAACGTTTTGTTACAACAGACATTGTACCATGGCAATTGAAAATGATTTAGTAATCAACAAATTTAAAAAAAATAAATAAATATCTTGTTTTTGGCTTTGAAATTGATATTTCATTTGGTTTGTGAATTATTATTAGCAAAAATTAATCATACATCATTTTGTGAAAAAGAAATAATTACGTAAGTATATGTATGTATTTGAGAGTACTTACCTTCAAGTTTGATGAACTTGCTTTTGGAGTGCATATGCTGCGGAGAAACACGTCTGCAAGTTTAAACCAGAATAGTCTGGGCTCATAAACGTCATCAGCACTAGCTCCACTTCTTTCTGAATTTTTTATCTTGCAAAGTTCTGCCCCACAACGTGTTCTAATAGTTTTTATTTTTGCCTTGATGTCGGGTACAGTTAATCCAGGCAAATTTAAATCGGCCAGCATTGATAAGTACGCTTTTTCCCGTACGTTTGATTTGCTGTAATCACTGCATTTATTATTCCACAAGCACTCATACCGCTGATAACTTTCTAGAAATAGTTCCATGTGTTTATCTTGCCACCTGAATGACATTGCCACGACAATAGGTATGCACAAAACTCCTACAATAATTTAAATCAAATAAAACTACCTACTTAAAACTACGCGAATACCAAAACCCAAAACAATCAACTAGTGTTTGTGAAGTGAACGTGCGTCGGCAGTTTACATTTGTCACTGGGCATTCACTCTCGATGAACGACTCTTTCATCAAAAGTTGGTCGGGGGTCGATATCTTTCATCCTTCATCTTTAGTGTACACTTTGGATGAAATCACAATGAAAGGCAATTTATACTTGTCACTTTGGATGATTCCTCCAAGATGATCATCAAAAGTGACAAATGTAATTGGGCCTTTACTTTCATCGTCGCGATCACTTTGGATGATTCATCCGGGATGATCATCCAAAGTGAACCGTGAAAACGCGCCTTTAAAAGCGAATTTACATTTTGCACTTTTGATGTACACTGCGGATGAAAGTGCTAGTGAATAGTGAAAGCGAAACAATTTACACCTTTCAAGTGTTTCATTTTTTTTTCATTAGTGAGTATTGGAGTTGAAATAATAACTACAGCCCTGCTTGAAGAATGTCGCAAGATACAAAATTTATTAGAAACTAAGAAAAAACGCCGCCGCCGTCGTTGGTGGGTTAGGCCATGGATTATGAGGCGACAAGATTTTGGAGCATCTACGCAACTGTTAGTTGAACTCGCTGGAGAAGATCCTGAGGCCTACAGAAATCATTTAAGAATGAGTGAAGTACAATTTCTGTTTCCTTTGCAAAAGGTATCTCCTCTTATACAGAAGACAGACACCTTTTTACGAGCAGCTCTGCCTGCAAAACTGAAATTACATATAACGCTTCATTATCTTGCCACGGGAACTTGTTTTGGTACTCTTAGTACTCTGTATAGAGTACCACCTTGCACCATATCCGAGGGGTCAACCACTAGCAAACATTTTGTACATGTATTGACAAAACCGTGTATTCCGGAGAATTGACATGTATTCCCAAGTATTGACCGGATTTTCAGATATTGACAAATATTCTCGAATATTGCCAAGTATTGTCAGATATTGATAAGTACTCCCAGGTATTGGCATGTATTCCCAGATGTGATATGACTAATTATAGATGCAATTTAAATTATTCAAAATTCATTTTAATCAGATACATTTTGTAGTCGTTTGTAATATTAAAATAAAACAAAAAGATAAAAAACAATTGCTGGTTTCACAAATGCGTTTATTCAAAAAACACTATACAATATGTTTTTTAAATGATACTAAACAAAATAACAATTCATAAAAAAAAATTTAATACCAAATAAATCATTTCCCCTGCATTTTCTTTTTCAGCTCTTTATATTTTTTTTTATTAAGATCAAATCGTGCCGTTTTATGGAAAATGGCCCGATGCCTTTCAAAGCAATAGGCCCATAAAAAATGTATTCACTATTAACAATTTTTATGTCATCTTCACTAGGCCACATGAATTTGTCTAATTCTTCCTTCAAAAATTTGATGGTACATACTGGTCTCTTTCTTTTGTATTATGCGATCTATATACCAAGTCCTATCGTAATAAACACTATAATATTTTTCCATTTCCAGGTTAATGGTACAGATATCTGATTGGTTATCGCAGTTCTCATCTTCAGTTTTATTAGATATAGAAAGCAGTCTTCGTCTTTTTGGATCACACACTGACATAAAATGACACAATTTTTTATCTTGAATATTTTTGTTGGGTTCTTGGTAAAATATCGTTCTGGCCCGTTTAACGTCCGCCATTCTTATTGACTTGCATTGATAAGATTGCGTATTATGTTCGCAAGGCATTTTAAAACGTTTCAAATTTGGATCATCGTCCGAGTACCTAGAACGATAACAATATAGGTAATTAATAATAAGGATAAAAATGATCTGTAGAGTCGTACTATAAACGTGCAACATAAGCATAACCTCAAAGATGTGTTTTTAATACTAACCTTTGGCGTTTCTCTACATCTCTGTTTGATATTTTGGATTTTTTACGTCTACTCCCATCATTAATGTCTCCAACTGTAGTATTCATATTGCACACCATACACTGGACTTGCGATAACACGTCATAAATTCACAACAGAATGTAATGTCGGCAAAACAGAAAGTTTGCAACGTTATGATTGATAATTGGATATGTCCTATTTTGTTGTAAAGCATTGTGGGTATGTAAGAGTTAACAAAGGATATGTCTCGTTTTGCTCGACCTCGTCCTATCTTGTTTAAGTTTGGATATGTCTCACTTTGACTGAACTACGCAACTTTAGATGGGAATTTCACTGGCATTTGTCTGGTTTTGACCGGTTTTCTTAACGCTATCGTGTAGAGGTCCTCGAAATCATATGCAATCGATACCAATCTCACTTCAACTTAAAAATGGATATGTCCCTTTTTGAATGAACGCTCCTCATTTATAGTAACATACCTTTTTCCACCCATCAATGTCACGTTGAGGGCCATCACCGACGGCATTTAATTTTGCAGCTAATTGCTCCCATAATACTTCAACGTCCTTTGGAGACATGTCCGCGTAAGCTTCGCACTTCTCAATACGGCGTGCTCCTCAATCATGTCGACGTAAGTAGTTGGGCCTTCAGGTGTGTATATGAATTTAACTTGAATCTTAACGTCCGTGAAGTTGGCACCGCCCATTGTTCATATTAATATTATTTGTATGCACATCGTTTGTTTATCGTTTGTTTACGTTTGTTTAACTATTTTCATCGTTTGTTTACATTTCCATATGTCTTTTTTAAAAATTCAAAATGGGCGAGCTAACTTCACGGTGGCTCGCCCAAAATCATAATGTTGCTAAGTTTGCAATTCGTTTATTTATCGTCTGTGGGCGTGTAAACTTTATTGTCATTATATTATTTTTCATCGCGATACGCATCTTTTTAAAAAATGTTAAATGAACAATTAACTTTACGGTGGTACGGTTAAAATTCGCTTATGAACCACTCTACAATAAATTGTAGCAGTAACATACATGCAGTGATTAGGTAAACGTAAAAGGCTCTAATAAATTAGTCACTGTTCTTCAAACAATTCTCTAATTTTCATATTAAAATGTACGATGGTACTTAGAACTGCCTACCGTTTTAATATTAGTTGAGACAGAGCTGGATCGAGTGTTCTAAAAAACCGCTCGAGCGACGAGCGTTCTAATCTCGGTTCTAATTGTCTCAAAAATGCTCGCAAGCATTAAGCTGTTTTGCAAAGCGAAACCGCTTGCGAGTTCCGAGCACTCCTAAAAGTGCTCGAGTGGTTTATCGCGAGCGCTTGGGAAAAGTGCTCGTGAGCGGAAAAAAAACGCTTAAGAGTGGAAAAAGCGCTCGGAAACGGAAAAAACGCTCGCGAGCGGCGCTTAATCCTTCAGAGCTTGAGGGCGGTTAAAAGCGCTCACGAGCGAAGGAAAATGCTCATGAGCACGAGCACCGAGCACTTTAAGTAAACGCTCGAGTATCGAGCACCCAGCGGCCGCTTCAAAAAGTGCCCGAAAGTACCAAAAGTGAACTATTGTAAGTCGGAAGATAAGTCCAGAAACAGGCCATTTTATAACGTACTAGCTGCCCGACCCGGCTTCGCACGGGTGTTTATAATTTTCGTATTCGTGGTTACATGTTGGGATGGATGTGCGTGTGTAAAGTGATGAATTCAGTGGTTCTGGTGGCGTTGTAAGTTGCGGTAATTTGACCTATCTACTGGCACAATATAATCCTGCCGGTTCTAGGCGAAACCTCAAAGCGAAAGGAATTCTGTGGAGTATTCGACTCGATTATCAACTTTTTGGACGATAATTTGAAGACACTCGGGTTTACATTAGAACCTAGAACTACCGTTTTCATCTCCCCAAAAAATACAAAGCGATCAAAAATGAGTGACCGTCGAGTCACCTTTGGAAATTTTGTTTACAAGGGAAATCGTACTTAACTTGTACTTCCAAAGGCGACTCGACAGTCACTCATTTTTGATCGCCCGATACTTTCTCATTGCCCCTTTTTGAGCACTGTTGGAAGATCCTTAATACAACGTTTTGTTTCGGAGAAATTACACAAACTATACTTTTTTATATGACCCGTGGAAAAAGTAGACACTGTATTTAGTAGCACTTTTTATTACGTTTTATTACGAATCCAACTATGTACGTCACACAAATAAAAACAAAAGTTGGAAATTGTTGGTTTCAACAGGATGGCGCACCCGGACACAACGTCTTAATCGTGCATGCATACGAATCTAATATTTTCCAGGAATTTATCCGATAGGTATGCTCGCAAGTTGTGCGCGGGTGCTGTCTTGTAGAGTTCAAAAAGTGGCAATGAAAAAGTGTTTTTTGTCTTTCTCGTTGTATCTGTTCAAATAACACCAGCAATTAGCAAAAAATAAACATAAAATCGGCAAGTTTTGGTTTTTCTGTCATATCTTCGGAAGTAATAGGAGTTTTTTTGTTTTCTCTAAAGCACGATAATAATGGTTTAATTGCGAAATCTTTTCTCTAATTTGACCATCGTCGTATCTTCTATGGTTTCGATCTCCATGATAGACATCCTTATCTTGGACACAGTTTATAGATTTTTTCCAATTAATTGGTCAATTACTTCTGAAGAGTTGGCCAAATAATGAAAAATCCAGCCCCCCCCCCCTCGGGACGTCCCTGCGTTTATCCGACCCCGACTTTTACTCCAAGCGAGAGAAAGCCCGCACCATACTGTAGTTTATATAGTAAATCTTAAATTACTTAATTCTTAAAAATTTGGTAAATGTAATCCCTTTATGGCTTAATTGTATGTTGGGTCGTCCTCAGAATGTATTGTTAAAGTCACGGCAAACCTTGTCCTTTTTATAAATAGAATTTGCGGAAATAATAATAATAATAATGGATTTTATTGATTAGGAAAATGTTTTTAAAGCAACCGCAGATGTAGGGTAGGTAGGTACGAATTTATATTGAATATGTCGAAGACGATTATTTTCATAAATGATATAGTAACGTTGGCATCTTTGCGTGCATTTGTTTGCTTTCATTTTTAAGAAAAGAGAGCATTACCTACATGTTTCGATAACGCATGCACAACAAAAAAAGAACTATCTAATTTGATGCAGTCGTAGATGCGCGTAATACAGAGACTTGCTATAACTAGACTGCGCTTAACGTACCTAAGGTGTTGTCGACACAGTATGCAACACACAATGCACCGCGGGGCAAAAATCGCCGAGATGATTTATGCAATATAATGAAATAAGCTGTTATTTTAGATGTTCCGTTCATTAATCATTCTCGTGATTAGCTCGAATTAGTGAACAGATAAATTTCTGTTGAGAATAAAACAATAAACTTAGGTTAACTTGTGCCTATCAACATGTACTCTGTCGATAAATTTTTAAATGATATGCTGATTTTCAACGGATAAAAGTTTAAAGGGCCAATGGATCAGAGCCATTCGAAGAGAAAAATTTGCTCCCACCATAGTGCATTTGCGAAGAATGAAGCCGATTTTAGAAAGCTACCTACGAAGGTGTTAAACAATAATGCAATACCGAGCGTTTTCGACTTTCCCATTCACTTAAAATAACGTAGAACTATTATTCTACATCCTTTACCAGCAAGACAACGGCAATACCTATTTTGCCTATTAG